TTAATCAAAGAAATAAAACATTCCAGTTAATGTTAAAGCCTCCTTTGTTCTCCATCAGCAAACCCATTCCTCACCCTCTCCTCAGAGACAACCACTGTCATGAGTTCAGCACATCTTCCAGAATATTTAAACACATTTTGTGAGCATGTGTGTTTTCATGAGTAAAGTGTGGCTGTGTGTGTGTGTGTGTGTGTGTGTGTGTGTGTTGTGTGGTTCCACATTGTACGTGTTGTCCCCTAATTTGCTTTTTTAATACAACCTTATGTGTTTTCCGTCTCTCTAAGCTGCCTGTGTGGAGAGAGGGAACACCCGCTGAGCCTCTTCTCCACTTTTGCCTACGTGTGACTGTAAAGACAGAACCGTAGCCGGCGTGCAGGTTACCCCACGGCAAGCACGGTTTGCTCATTGAATCCCCACAACCATTTCAACCCCCTTGCACACAGGGACCTGAGGCTTCAGGGGCTGGCGTGCCAGGGGTCAGCTTGTGATCCGCTCGCGTGTGTCACTCCTGCCCGGTGTCATGATGCCAGCATGGAAGTGAGGTGGTGTAAAACCCTGGGACCCAGGCTGGGTGCCCCAGCCCCTCCATCGGAAAGTCCTCCCTGTGCCCTTGGGTGCAAAGAACACCAACAGTCACGAAATCTTGACACTGGGCGGTGTTGGAAATTGGGCAGATGGTTTCTCTTTCTGCCTCAATGTCTCACCTCAGAAATGGGATTCTAGCAGGCTGCCCAGCTACCTGACAGATTGCTGGGAACCTAGCCTGATAGATCATCATTGGGAAGCACTTTGCAAGCCCCACAGTAGTGTGCAGATGGAAGACGCTGTTAGGAAGGCTCCCGGCCCACTTTTTCACTCCTTAACAGACCACCTACCCTATTCCAGGCACAAGCCCCCAATTTTCTGTGCATGACAGTACTTAATCCTCATTCCTGCAGCAGCCCCTTTAGAGAGACTGTTCCTAAGTAAGCTCTTGTTTTCCTGCCTTGTTTAATTACCACCATGGCAACGACATCATTTCCTTTTTTTAAAGCTTTATATATATATATATATATATATATATATATATATATATATATATATAAAAAGTTTGTGTGTGTGTTTCAGCCTCATTATGGGTTAAATTGAGTTTTATGAGTGTCAACCCAATCAAAATTTATAACTTTTTTCTCCAGAAAAATTGCTTCCAAGCTTCAACCAACCAGTCACAGGGAAGCTTTGGAACACAACCAAGGTACTGTTGACACTGTTCTGTACTCAGATCGTGGAAGGATAGCTGTTCTCCCCAGAGGGACTGTGAGCCTTGAAGGGCAAGCACTATGTCCTACACGGATTCCCCATCACACCGGTGTGCCAGGCTCAGGAATATGTTGAATAAATGCTTGCTTAATTCCTCCAAAGCCCAGCTCCCTTGTCTGCCTCCAAGAGATGGGTGCTGATGGGAGTGTCTTGGGCGCCCCTGGGAACCCCTGCTGTAGTCGGTAAATCACATACTAGCAAACTTGCCTCACAGATGAGGCCTGGGAAGCAGTGTGTCTTATCCAGACTCATTTGGCTGAATGGTACTTGTAATAACAATACCATCAGTGTTTCTTTAGCACTTAGCACCTTGTTCTAGATGTTTTATATTTGTTCATGATTCTAATTGTCGCCAAAAGAAAGTTAGATATTTTTATTATCTTCATTTTACAGATGAGGAGACTGAAGCCCAGAGAGGTTAAACAGCTTGCCTAAGGTCACAGAGCTGGGAAAGGGGCAAAATGGAGATTCTAACCCAGAGCCTGTGGTGTCAACCAATGTGCCAAACCACCTCGAGTTCATGATCTATATTAAAGCCTTGAGCAGTAGGCAAGATAGGTGCTTTTTTTTAAAAAATATTTTATTTATTTATTTGACAGAGATCACAAGTAGGCAGGGAGGCAGGCAGAGAGAGAGAAGGGGAAGCAGGCTCCTGCTGAGCAGAGAGCCCGATGCGGGGCTCGATCCCAGGACCCTGAGATCATGACCCAAGCTGAAGGCAGAGGCTTTAACCCACTGAGCCACCCAGACGCCCCAAGATAGGTGCTTTTTAAAAATGCTTACATGTACATTCTACCAAATGCAGACAGCACAGAAAGATACAAAAGTCTAGTAGACTGCTCTGGAAATTCTTTCATCCCATGCTAAAGTCTTGATCAATATCTTGGCAAACATGCCTATAGATAACCCTCTCTGAACACATCTGTGTATAGATACGTATTTACAATCTCCCGCACATGGGACCTCCCTCGAGCTGCTCTTTGGTGACCAGCATTGGACAGAAGAGACTAGAGCTCAGGAGAGGTGAGCCCAGCCTCCAGGGCCAGCCTTGGGACTTCAGTCCAGGGTGGGGCTTTCTCTTTTGTCCCAAGTGCTCAAAGCAGAGGCCACACGCATTGTTGACACCCGTTGCTCCTGTTCCTTCCTCCCATCACCCAGTCTTGGCTGTGAGCCAGATTGGTGCGTACCCTTGAGGCTCCTTTGTCTTCCTGGGCTTGTTACCTACTAAGGAAGAGACTCAGGGTACTTGGCAAGGAGGGATACAGTTCTCAGGAAAACTCAATAAAATTATCAGTGGAGCCTCGCAGGGACTGAACAGTGGCAGTGGTTTCCTGGCGCCCGGAGATCTTCAAGTCACACAGTGATTGCGTATGTGGCCCCAACGTGGACTTCTAGTGCCACCTTACCATTTCCCCGTTAAGCAGTACTTAAAGTTGTTTGGAAGAAGTTGAGGTCAAATGGGATCTGATATTTGGGGAGGGAGAGATGCCCATTACCTCATCCTAACCAACATCCCTTCCTACTGATATTTTGTTTTAGGGTTGGTATCCGGTTTTGCTGAAAATGAAATCATCTTTCAACTCTCAGGCTGTGTTAGTGAAAATGAACTCTAATGTGATTAGCTATTAATGCTGTGTAATGGAGGATAGGTATTAAATTGAGGCCTTCTGATCCTATTACTCCACAAACGCTCCCTCCTGCTCAGGCTGCTGCCCTGCCAGCCCCCTTCCCTGGGCCTAGACGAGGGGCTGAGGTGCTTCATCCCCAAGCCCGCGGCGGGAGCCTGGCTCTGCCTAAGGCCACTCCCAGCCAGACCTCTCTTCCTTCATTGCCTTGGGTTCCCTGCCGTGGTGTGGGGGGATCAGGGGTTGGACCTCAGGAGGCGTAATTTGGATCTGCCCGCGCTCTCAGAGCCAGGAGCATGTTGTTGAGGATCACGAGCTTACAAGTGCCAAGTTCTACCTCCACATCCAGAAGCAGTTGAAGATTTTCTGGACAGGCATGCAGCTAGAAATCTTAAGAACACAGTCTTTACCTCTTCTGCGCCCAGCCCCTCTGCACCCCAGTCCTTTTTGTGAAGCTGACTTGAACATGATAGTTGTCAGTAGCTGCTGTCACTTGTCCTGGCTATGCCTTCCTTTCCTAGAGGGCTGGTCTGAGACGCAGGCTGTGGCCCAGCCCTGGTGTGTGCCGTCACTTCCCATAGGAGTTGGGATGGGTGTCTGCTGCCCCACGCAGCGTGGACCCCTCACTTCCTTTGACCTGCCAGAGGAAGGATGCCTGTCTGTCAGCCACACAGCTTGGCTCAGAAGTGACAGGCCTGTGGGAGCAAAGGCCCAGGGCTGAAGCACCACAGGGCCACCCTTGTAGGCCTGGCCCCACCCACAGGCTGCATCCCACCCTGCAGATGCCCCAAGGGAGCTGTGTGGGCCTGGGAGCAAGATAATCCCCCACCGAGAAAATTGGCCAAGAGTGCAGGCTCTGGGGCTGGTCAGATGGCATCACCTTCATGTATGAATAATAGCATTTTTACAAAGAGAGTGATTTTTCTTGTGCTGTTTCCAGAAAACTGCTTTCAGAGGCACAGACTTTGCATACAGGACGGTAATGACTTTTTAATGACCTTAAGGGGCCTGGGTGTCCAGGCAGCAGTGAATCAATCTCAGTGGGAGGCTCATCATGAGAGAGAAGATGGAACACCTGAAACCAAAGGGGGAAAAAACAAACCACAAATACATATATTTTCTTTGGTAGCAGTACTTGGTAATTAGACAATTACAGGAAACAGCTTCCCAGCAGCTGGCATTTCCACTGTGTGAGCGGAGGAGGGACGGCAACAACTGTGAACTCCTCACATTTATTACAGAAAATATTATTGGAGTTTACAGTCGTGGGTGCCGTGCTCTCCTCCAGCGCATTCTGATGAGCTGTGAGCATTAAACCAAGAGCAGAGCTCCTCCTCTCCGGGGCTCTTTAGGGCCTGCTTGCTGGGCTTTAAATGAGCTGGTTTTTGAGCCCACCCAGAGTCTGGCTGGTGCTGAGAGTAAGCCCTGGGGCGGGGGCGAGGGGTGGTGGGGGTGTACATTTGGAAGCAGGAAAGAGGAGGTCGGGGAGGCCTGTGGAGAAACAGCCTCTTCTTCCCCAGGTGCCATCATCTGCATGGGGCAGTGTTCAGACAGAAGAGCCTTGGGTTTCACATGGCACTGAGTGACCCCTACTTCTCCCTCCCCTTTCCTGGCCCACCCCGTCCACTTCCTGCCCTGGTTCAAAACTCCTCCCAGAAGCCCCCACACCTCTTAGAGGCGTGCCCCCTCAGCCAACGGCCCCTGAGGTGGGCCCATTTCACAGATGAGGAAATGTATTGGATGAACCCCACCGACCTTGATCACTTTTCTCTTTGGCCACACTCGTGTCTCAGTGTGGACTTGGACTGTACTCTGTGCCTGTTGATGGCGAGCTTTGTTAGAATCCCAGTTGCCTTCACAGAAGGTAGGTGTGCTCTGAGTGGGGATGCTAGGTACTGACTGCCTCTCTCAGACACACATGAGGTGGCACCCCGTTCCATTCCCCCAACTGTCCTACATTGCAGGCCTCCTGAGGATGGAGGGCAGGAGCCCTCAACATCTAACCCCCCCACCGGCAGTGTTGGCTGGGTTAACAGTACCGTCTAACCAGACACACGGTTGTGCTTCCTCTCACAGGTCCTGGCAGTCTGTAACTTTTGAGAGACAGCCCGCCTCCTTCATCCGAATTGTGGGAACACACAACACAGCAAATGAGGTAAGGGTCTCCATTCATGAGCGACGCTGTGCTGTTTCCTGACGTACAGGTAAATGCTACATCCCGAGCTAAGTAGAACGGTTTGTTCTCCCCACTAATGGGCTGTTGTTCAGAGAGCCTGGTACACAAGAAAGTCCTGCTCTTGCACAGTGGGGATATCATTATCATTTCTAGATGGCTCTTCACTAGGAAATGAAAGCCAACTCCTGTGGCTTTGCTTACTCCCACCAGCCTCCTTGTGGAATCGGCCACCACAGAGACCTTGAGAGGTCACACGCCCTGTCCGCAGAGTCGTCCGTTTTCCCAGACGACAGCTATTCCCGAGGTCCCTTGGCCCTCTGAACATGGTGTTTAAGGAACCTCAGCCCCATAGGGGCCACCATGGCAGACAGTTGCTGGTTTTCTATCTGTTCTGTCCTATGCCAGGCTGCACAGAAATGCTTATGAATGGGCCTGTTCCTCCCCTGGCACCCAGGCCCAGATTGTTCCAAGGGACCACACCGTTTGTAGGTATTCCTTCACTTTGGGATTTCATGAGGGAAGAGTGGCTGGTTTTTTCTCCCGTTTTGAGCACCCACAATCAGGACAGCAGTCAGGTTAAAGGCCTGAGCCTCAAACATTGCCATGCTGTTTTCTCTGGAATGTAAATGCCCCAGAGAAATGCACTGGGTTCCTCTGGATCAGAAAACAGAGGACAGGGGCTGCCTGGGTGGCTCAGTTGAGGAAGCATCTGACTCTTGATTTCGGCTCTGGTCAGGATGTCAGGGTCGTGGGATTGAGCCCCATGTCAGGCTCCACACTGGGCGTAGAGCCTGCTTGAGATTCTCTCTCTCCCTCTCCCTCAGCCTGTCTCCCTGCTCACACTTGCATGTGCTCTCTAATAAGTAAATAAATAAAATCTTTTTAAAATATAAAAAATGAAGAAAAAAGAAAGGAGAAGACAGTGCCCTTAATGAATAGAGAAACCAGGACACCTGAGTGTGAGGAAGGCCGCCATGACTAATTATACCGGGACAGCCAGAATAAACCAGGACTGAGCCAGGCGCACCTGGACCGCCCTCCCCTCCACAGTGTGGCTTTCCGGTGTGCTCATGGAGGCACCTGGGCATTCATGCACACCATTTAAGGTGAGGCCAGTGTCAGTCAACACAGTAGGGTGATTGCTTACCTTTTCTGTTCTTTGAGTGGGTGTTGAGTGAGCACTGGTGGCTGGATGGTGGTGTCTAGTGTATGGCCACGCTGTTGACTTCATCTGCTGATCACGCCCTTGCTTTTTATGCTCGTGTGTGTTTAGTGTGAACCTCTGAAGGACAGCTGGTTAAAGACAGGAATCATAAGGAACTGTAAGACTGAAATGGGAAATGAAAGGCAACAAAATGATAACTGCTCTGCAGCTTCCCCTTAAGCTGCTCTTTCTCAGATCTGTCCGGGGCTGGCTTCCAGGTCATGTGACCAGAGCAGTTGCGTGGGGCTCCACACCCAGAAAAGGGCTCTGTGCTTGGGGTTTAATGCTCACCAGTACCATCTCGAGTGCTTCACAATTTGACCTATCACTTTGTTCTTGTAAGGGCAGCTGCATGGGACGATGGAGCATTTACCTGGGGCTAGGAGCCTCAGCTCAAACACAGGCCCCTCTGGCCTTCCCAGGACAGGTTCTCAGCCACCCACCCTCCACTCCCCGTGGGGGCCTAGCACATTTGCAGGGAGGGTCCACGTCTTGTATGAATTTCACCTGCATCATAGGATAGGGCCCGGGCACCTGTGAGGGTCTGCGCTGGCTTCAGGAGTTCCCCTGGCCGAGGGATTGCAACAGGAGGTAACAAAGGAAAAGCCTGTGTCAGGTCGGGAGAGAAACTGTGGGAGGAAAGAAAAAGCTTTTTTCCTGCTTTTTGAATAAGAGGCTCTACATTTTCATTTTGTGCTGAGCCCTGCATAATACATAGCTGGCCCAGTTGGTGCATTGTGTTTGTCAAATCAGAATTCTCCAGAGCACGTCAAGGTGTTTCTGGTACTTAAGAATGCATTTTAAAAAGTGAAAATATTGTGATAATTTATATTCATTTTGCCTTTTTATTCGTTTAGAACAAAAATGATACATGCCTACAATGTGTTTCTTGCAGAGAAGAGCTGATAAACAGAAGCTTGAAACTTTCTCTCTTACCTCTTTATTTCACAAATCTGAAAATTAAAAAAGTAAACAAATTGAGATTTTTCTTAAAGCACAAAATTAAAGAACTCTATACATCAGGTCATAAAAAGCACCCTTTTCTTTGATGAGGCAATAAAAGTATATTTGAATCTGTATTTTAATATATATTTGAGCCCCAAACCAAATATCATATTTTAAAATATTTTTTTCTTTTTTAAAAGTTTTAATTCCCATATAGTTAATATAAAGTTTTGTTAGTTTTAGGGGTACAATATAGTGATTCAACAAATCCATACATTACTTAGCATATTTTTTGCCTAGAAATCCCAATTTTTCTTACCACTTAAACTTACATTGTTACATGTTTATTATGTACCAAATCAGAAAACAATTTATCTTTCCATAATACTAAATCAACGTAAAACTGAATATTTTTCATTTGCAGTCACTTATTTCTTATGTAATACATCCAAAAAACCCAAGCAGTTCTGTCTTTAATTCCTCTGTGGGATTCTGCAGTTAGGTATTCCAGCGGAAGGAATTCTAGGTCAGAGAAGGCCAAGGAGTGAGTGGGGTGAGTCTGATGAGTGTCTCCCAGAGTTTAGCCCCAACCCTATGCTCTCAGTGACCTTATAAAGAACAGTTTCCCATTACAGAACCTTGAAGTTAGAGTACAAGATCGTCTCTCCCCAGATGAGCTTCCTGAACTGTCTGTGTGGGGAGATCCAACCCCACTGACCAGCCCGTTTGAATGGGTTGACTAGTAGGCTGCTAATTAATCGGTGATCTGTTGCATTTGGCTCACGATCCTCAGTGTGGTATTGCCAACTGGGGAACCTCTTAAGTCATAAAATAAATAATGAACGGGGTCAAAAGGCAGGACCCACATACTGTCTTTCTCAGAGCACATAAGAAGGCACAAAAGTGCTGAGTCTCCCTGGGAATCAAGAATGCAGCGGACTCTCAAAGATCGCACTCTTTTCTCTGTGGGCCGCTTTCGGGGGCTTCGTTTTGGACACAGCATCACGTGTCTTCGAGAACAGCGGGAATGTGTACACATCAGTGTGGTGACGTTCAGAGGTGAGAGAGACCAGGCTGCACTAAGGGAAGAGGAGTGACTGAGGTTGGTCCAGCAGGACTCCTGGGGAAGGCAGCCGCAGGGGAGAGCTCAGATGGCCCAGACAGCCAGGGAAAGGAGGCTGGGGGCACAGTCAGGAAATGAAAATGGCCGGGGGTCTGGACAAGCCCCATCCCGAGTCCCACAGAAGCCAGAACCCCACCGTCAATCAGAATATTAGAGTCAGGGTGCTGCTTTCTCACAGGTGAGGGTGGTAGAGGGAGAGGCAGGGTTTCCTCAGCCTGTCACTGCTTGTTTGCCAGGTGATGTCCGTGGCCTCCCTTTAGTCAGAGCCAGGACCTTTAGAGACTGAGTGTTACCAGAGGCTTTTGGAAATTTCAAGAAATGCAGCTGGGACTGGCTTTTAGCATGTGTAGATAATGGAAAGAGAAATGTGGGTGAATACCTTTGCCCCCCCACCCCAGAAGATTGTTTTCTGCAGCTGCTGCCCCTTCCAGAGAGGAAGTCAGGCAGGGGATGGCAGAGGGAGCGTCGCTCAGAGGTGCCTGTGACTTGAGGAGCATTCCAGGGGGTGGTGGTTGGGCCATTTGGGCAGAGCATGGAAAGTGCCAGCGCAATGTGTCCCTGGGAGAGGGGCTTACGGCTGCTGTGGGACTGGAAACCACCCCGACATCCACATCCCTCCTGCTGCTGGACTAGCAGAACCCCGCCTCCCCCCAAGCTAAACCTGGGATTCCTTGCCCAGTGTAGACGTGTGTGTCCTGCCCCCGCGGCCAGGCCTTCCTGCGTGCGAGGCCCACCTGCGGTCGCCACATGCTGGTCTCCAGGCCTCCCTGTCATGGGGCTCTCGGGTGACAGCAGCGTCAGCCACCGTGTGGCTTCAGATTTCTTGATCACCTGTTTTGGCACGCTTCTGATTTCCTGCAGCATTTCATCCCTGTCCTCTGGGAAGTGTCTGTCTGCTGCTGGCATCTGTCTCTCATCTTCCTTTGTGAGTGCTGCAGCGAGGAATTCATTTAATTTTTTAGCTACATTTACGACTCCTGTCAATAAATTTCCCTAATGCTTACCTCACAGCCTCCTCCACTTCCTTCAGTGACCTCCTGCCCTTGTGTACTTGGTATCACCCTTGCCATTTATCTTCGCTCCCGAGAACATTTTCCTTTCGTTCCCCACAGCGTGTGCTTTGTCATCCTCCGCTCTGCAGTCTCCCCCGTGCCGGGCGCGCCTCTCACCCGGCTCGGGCTCCTCTCCTTTACCCTCGGACGCCTCTCTTGCATGTCTTCTGCGCGCTCGCAGGGTCTCCTTTGTCTCCCTGTCACGCTTAGCACTAGATGGCAGACACGTGTCTTTCAGCGCAGCCGCCCTCTCGTCCTGCTCCCCTTTGGTTGCTTCCAATTATCCGACTGTCCCCGGGGCCGGCAGCCAGCAAGGTCCTCCTCGGCCGCTTCCCCGGGCACGTGACGCTGGTCCCGGTGCCCGGCTGGCGATGGCGTGCTCATGCCAGTGCGGCGGCCCATCGGCCTCGACCGCTCATCAGCTCTGAGTGCCCTGGAGGCAGACGGTGCTCCTCTCTCCAAGCCTCTCTTGTCTGACAAAGGGTAGAACCGGGGCCCATGGACAGCGCCCCACGCGCCTTGGCCAACCCGAAGCTGCCAGCTGGGACGCGGGCCCGAACAGGCCCCTTGGTGTCCATTTCAGTAATGATCGTAGCAGAGCCTCACACCGCCATCCCCGGAGATCAGATGGGTCCAAACAGGATCCGTCCAGGGA